GATATTTTGCTACTTAAAATCTTTCTGTCGCATCTACTCTGATATTATCTGTGCCATAGATGCAGCAACTATGATATAGATACATCTATCAGGAGTGGGCTCCCCACTATCTATGATAGTATTCATTTTCTGTAAGAGAGGCTTCTTTGATGAGAAATAGCTACACTTATCTTTGGATACAAAGATATGATTTAAGATGTAGTAAAGAATTATACTAGCCTAGAAAATTGTTAGTAGTAGATTCTTTTCTAAGATCCATGACCCCTCTAGCTCTAGGAAGCTAGTTAGGTTTGCAGCACCAGATATTATTTCTCTCCTGTTTAGTGAGCCTTGAGTAAAGGTGCCATAGATAGTACATACATGTCAGCAGTAACCAACAGCTATCCAACTGAACTAAAGGCAGATTTCTGTGTTTGAATTGCTTTCAAATTCTTTGTTTGTTTGGTCTAGTTCCTGTACTTTATCTTAGATCATAATATTTTATCTTCCCTATGATTCATTTTGCTTGTGGGGCTTTCCCTTGAGTTTTCTAGTTCAGTTATTGAGTTTTTCAATTCCGTCTTCATTTCAGCTTGAGTTCACTTCAATGTTTCTACATATTTATTGAATTCCATCTTCAAATCTTATATTGTCTTCATGATTTCCTTCAGCTTTGGTTCGTGTTGGGGGAAGGGGACATCACCTGAACATTTAGCTCACTGAGCTGTTTGTCTTCTTTAAACTTGAATTCTTTGGTCTTCTTATTGTTCTTTTAAATTTTGTGTCCTGAGGTTCACATAGGTAATTATCATTGTCAGACATTTCTTTGGGACTAAGGGCTTTGTGGAAGGAAATACTCTCTTGATCTTGTACACCGTAGTTTTGTGATGCAATCTGTGCATGTGGACTTTTTTATTTGTTCTGTGTCTGATAGGTTGGAGCAGAGCACGGTATGTGTGGGTCAGGTTAGGCTGAAGGTGAGATATGGCTTAGGTAGAGAGAAGTCAGGCGGTTTCAAGGGGCTGAGCTGGCACATAGGATGTGTGTCATGCTCCAAGCCTGGGGTTTGGCAGTAGATCTGGACGTCAGGGAGTGTCCTTGGAGGGAGGGAATCAGGCAAACTTACCCACTTAGTTCCTGTCACAAGATGTACAGGACCTAATTTGGTGGAAAGATTGCATGTAGTACACAAGGTTCCTGTAGGTTGTGGGAATATGGGTCCTAACTAAAGCCTGGAGATTAAGTGCAAGCAAAGCTGTCCAGATTAGGCTCAGGCACTGGATATGAGATGCTGAATGTATCTTGAGCACTGAGGAATGTGAGTAGAGGGGATAATTAGGTAGAGTCACCTATCTAGATGCTGGCACAATATATGGAGAACCTGGGGTAGAGAGGTTGGATGTGATACAGCAAGGGTTTGTAGGTTGTGGGTGGGCTGTGGGGTCATGGCCAGAGCTTGAAATGGGAACAATGAAAAAAGAGGTTGCCAGAGGAGGCTGGAGCACTGAATATAGAGCCCAGCTTAGGTGTGTGGTACAGGCATACTCTTCAAACTCACACTTACCTGCCACATCCAACGTCAGTATTCAGACATGGTATTATGTAATAGTTTTCTCACATCTTACCATCATAAAATGGGTATAATAGGTACAGGATATAATTATCTGAAAAATAAAATATTTAATTTGAAAATTATATGTTGACCATTTAATGGAAATAGAAGTCTTACATTTGTTTCTTGCAGTAACATGTTTCCCTTAAAAGTGCTCTGAATGAACAAAACCCAAAAATATTTCAGATCTACAAATGTATATTAGTCTTACTGTGTGTTGAGTTTTGTTTGTTTGTTTTGGTATCCCCAAGAAATTCAGACACTGTAGCCTCATGAAGCACGGAATGTTCATTTAATTATGTTTAAATCATACACTAAAACAAAATGTTTTAAGAAATTAGCAGTAACACTTAAAATGTATTGGAGACATTTTGTCTGCATCATGCTACAGGCAAAACCTAAGTAGTAAAATTACACATTAGTGAAAACTGGCCAGTCTTGAATTCATAACTCAGTATTTGACAATATGAAGCTAGAACAAATCACCACATCATCTAATAAGACCCATATGACTCATTGGACAACTGTAATTATGAAATTCACAAAATTTGAGAAACTTAAGTAGTATTGGGGATTTACATTAATCAATACATAATATGTTAATAAGAAAGCAGACAACAAAAGGACTCTATGTATACCCACACATGTTCTTTCTTTCTATCTCTTTGATTAATGAAAGGGTCTTTATGTGTAAAATTATATCTATTAAATAGAAGTCAGTGAGAAGATATGTTATCTCAGGGCAGACTTTGTTAACTTAGCAGCTGAGTAAGACTCAAGGGTATTTCACATTTACAGTACTGTATTAAGCCCTTATTCGTCACTTCCTTTTCTAAAGGCCTAGGATTTTTTTGAACAAGTTTTTAATCCATTTGGAATACATCAAAACTAAAATTAAATTTCTGAAAAATTAAAAAAGTGGATACACATTGTTTCAACCTAGTAAGCTGGGGTGGAAAGACTGTAAGAGCCAGGGAAACAGAGTTTGAAAGATTGTATCTCCTAAGAATGTCAGAAGTTATACACATAAAGCTTCACCAACATGATTGCCTAAATACGAGCTGAACAAGGATGATACCAATAGACATACTAACATGGATGGAGAAAGCTCAGAAGACCTCAATTCTAGACAAAGAGCTACAGGTCATTAAGGAATACTGAAATCTGAAGAAATAGTCTTCCCCAGGGAAGATTATACCAACTGGTTATCCAATACTAATTGATCACCCCTGACAACATATGTATGTAACATTATATAGACTGAGCAGGTTGTGGTTATATATTTAGACATATATACATGTATGTTATATGATGAAATGGAAGCCATGAATTTTTTAAAAAAGAGAGAGAAAGGAGAGGCTTGTGGAACAGTTTAGAGAGAAGAAAAGGAAGGGGGAAATGATGCAATTATATTATAATATCAAGACAATAGAAGCTGTTCAGGTCTTTGTAAAGCAAAAATATCTAAAGTTTTTTGGTGTGAAAGATTTTACAACTGAAAGTTTTCATTTGTTTTAATTTTCAACTTCATATTATACACTTTTCTGTCTATTAGGGTCTTCAATAAGATTTAATTTTTTGGAAAATATGCAACATTATGTCTAGAATTTTTATATTCAAAGAAATGAAGCATTTCTTTCCATATTTTCTGTCAATGACATGTGGAGTACTTTCCATGTTAGAAAGCACTAAAATCCCTCATCCTTGGCTTTGGCTGGTGTTATGATGCACTTACAACACTCCTAGACTTGAGAATCATTGCTGGGCTTCATACTAACCAAAGCCTAGGTGCCCTGTCAATTATTTCCACTGTGGTGTGTTTAAGAATGGAAGGATATTAAGAAAATTCTTTCATTCATTTTACACACAAATCAAAGATCTCCCTCTTCCCTCCTCCCACCCCCAGGCTCCCCCTCCCAACCTACCCCCCACTGCCCCCCCCAGAAGAAGGCAAGGCCTCCCATGGGAAGGCACATCCAGTAGAGGCTAGTACAAGCCCTTCCCCCTGTCTCAAGGCTGCATGAGGGGCCAATAAAAAAAAAAGAATGGAAGGATAAGCCTTATTGGAGGAAAAAGCAAAAATAAAGCCTGCAGTATTTTTCTAAACATCAAGTGTAACCATGAGAGGTGTCAGCATCATATTCTCTAGGAACCATTTGTATTAGATGTGTTTATGTGTACAGACACCTCAGGGATACTCAAGTACTTAAGAATGTCTTAGAGTTTCAACAACACATGTATATTTTCAGTACTTTTATTTAAAAGTGAGACATTTAGCGTAGATTATTTTAGTTTTCTGTGATTATCTAGATGTAATCTTACATAGTTGGAAACTAATAGTATTCCCTCACAAGAATGAAAAATATCCAGCACCATTTGTTTAAGTCAATTATTCTACAAGTCTGGACTAGTCAAATTATTAGTGTTAAACTGTCTTTTTTAAAGGAAAATGTAGCCAAAACATTTTTGAAGCACAAGTAATTACAGCTATTAATGGTAAGCAATAGATAATAGAGGAATCGATAAAATAAACACAGAGATAATTTTCTTATCCTGTCCATGGAACTTTATATATCTTCCTGGCTCATTCATCTTAACTAATCAATATAACCAATCATATATCCATATATCTATGGATATAGCTTTATTTTAATTTTACAATATATGTATGTACAAAGAAAGGTAATCAGCAGTCATCAAACATAGCGGGGGGGGGGGGGGGGTGGCGGGCAACAAAAAAGCAAACAACATTTACTTATTTTTTGATCAACTAATGAGTAAGCCTAAATAACTGTAAGTTAGGCTCCTTAGCAGCTCTTAGATTAACAGATATTCAGATAAAAGAATGGACAAAATTTCTGGGAATCATTGGATCAGCTTGAACCTGGAGGTCAAGGCTAACCCCATTGGATCTTCTTTTTCCCTACATCCATGTGGCGCCTCTCCAAACAGTAGGCCAAAGTGGATAGGAGTTTTTTCTACCAGAAGCCAATCAATGGATTTTTTTTTCATGTTTAATAAAGCTCTGTGTCCCTTCCTACCGTGCTCAGACCTCTAAAGCACCACTCTCTTTAGCATTTGACTGTAGAAATTTAGGATTCATCTGAATGTTTATTTTGATAATTAGGAGAGCTGCATTTGTTTTACTCACTTCAAGACCTATCAGTCACAAACCAAGCCAATTATAGGACTCCCCGTCCAGTTTCATTTGATGATGTGATACTATTTCTTCCATTTACCCCCTTAGTCCTCCTTTTTTATTCTCAGGGTACAGCAAAGAAACCCTGGGATAATGTCTTGGTGACGCATCTTCAAACTCTCTCCTCTGCACACACATAAAAATTACTGTTGACCATAACATCTGTTTTTGTCTAAGTCTTAAGAGATATCTGTGTTGTTCTCCAAACAGCTTCAAAACCAGTGGACTCAAAATTATGCAGTGGCCCTGTTCCTAACACCACACAGCTGTGCCACCTTCCTTGTCCAGTGGAATGTGAGGTTTCACCCTGGTCTGCCTGGGGACCTTGTACTTACGAGAACTGTAATGACCAACAAGGGAGAAAAGGTATGTAATGGTGACATTACCTGTTTCAAACACCCAGTAATTGAGGCAAATTGGGATCTATATTTTATATGATGTTTTGTGTTCCTTGTCTGGCTTGGTATTTTGTAGGTCTTGGATATTCTGTCAAAACTGCCATAAGTTCATATGAACAGTTGTCACGTTGTATTTGAAAAAACTTGTTTCCTTGTAGTCATTCTGGCTCCTCTCAATGATCCATGAGCTGTGGAGAAGAGGGTGTAACTCTCTTATTTTTTGTACTTTTGAAAATTAGAGATTCGTTATTCTCTGGGTGTAATGATAAGTCATTAGGAGTTGTTTTAATCCTATGTTCATTTAGCAGAACAATATTTTCAGGTTCCACTCTAGGGCCTATGTCCTACATAGCTACAGATTCATAGCCCTGGTAACTTGCCAAATATGGGTTTCATTTTGTGAAGTGGGCCTGAAATCCAATCAGAAAGTAGTTGAATACTCCCATAATATGTATGCCACTATTGAACAAGTGGACATGTCTTGTTTGGCCAGTCATTAGTTTAGCTTTCAGGGTTCAAAGCTGGATAAGACAGACGATTACTATTTCTCTTTGGGGTCTGTGCACAGCACCTTCAAGCACTATGAAAGCTTGAGTAGGTCTAAAGCTTCCAGGTTGATACAAGATTAGATTCTCCTTTTCTACAACTCACTTACATAGGGTCTTACCACCAAGGTCTGGATGATAGCCAAGAGCACTGGCAATAGCCTGTAATGTTTGAGAATCTATGGGACAAAGTGACCAACAACCTAAGGGAAAACCCATTCCTGTGTCTGGGCATTTTGTGCTGGCATGTGTTGTGTAGCTGGAGTATCCCTCTGCTATGGGATCACTTCATTTAAACTCTTTTATATATGTATATGCATATATTTTAGGAGAATTCTCCACTACTGGGTTTCCCTATGACCTTTTCAAAAGATTTTGTGTTAGTTAATCTATTTCTCCTCTATCCTGCTCTTCCACGCCCTCACATTTAATCCTTCATTTCTAAGTGAGGTAACAGATCCAGAAAGATAAATGTGACATGTTTTCTCTCATTTGTGATGTTAGCTTGGAACCTTTAAATATGTGTATTTAGTTCAGAATACCATAATATTGGAAAATTAGTAAGGGACCTTAGCCAGTAGAAGGGAGCTTTAAAGGCTGGGAGAGAAAGAATGCAAAAGTATAAAGGGGCAAAGGGAAATAATTGAGCCAAAAACTATTTTGATTCTTCTTGCTCCTTCCTTCCTTCCCTTCTTCCTCCCTCCCTCCCTCTCCTTCCCTCCATCTCTTCCTTCTTTTCTTCCTTCTTCTATCAATAATTGACTGGTGGTCTCACATTATGCTTCAATGTTTACACTGGTTATTCAACTCACTCAGGACTCTTACCTTCTACCCTCATCCAGCATTGATTCTGGGATTTAAATCATCTTTCTGAAATATCAGAACTCTGGCATTAACAATAAATTTATTTCCTTCCCCCAATGACTCAGGATTCAAACTAAGGAAGCGGCGCATTACGAATGAGCCTACTGGAGGTTCAGGGGCAACTGGAAACTGCCCTCACTTACTGGAAGCCATTCCCTGTGAAGAGCCAGCCTGCTATGACTGGAAAGCAGTGAGACTTGGAGACTGTGAACCAGATAATGGAAAAGACTGTGGGCCAGGCACTCAAGTTCAAGAGGTTGTATGCATCAACAGTGATGGTAAGACATATGCTTTGTCACAGGTTATTGAAAAGCTACTCAGCCTGGAGGATGTGATTGTACATTATGTTAAAATCAGATCTCTCTCTCTCTCTCTCTCTCTCTCTCTCTCTCTCTCTCTCTCTCTCTCTCTCATTGTTGCTGAGTACAGATATTCCATTAACTACCCAGAGTATTAACTTTATGTTGCAATTTTATTAATAATATTTTGATTGTTGTATATTCATTATATAGGTTTCATAAGTACATTTTTCTGTGCATTTTACCCTCTATTAGTAATCTTTCTCTCTCTCCTTCCTCCTTCCTCCTCTTGTTAGTGTCCTTTGCTCACTTACATTGCTTCCTGTTCTCAGGTCATATAGACATACAAGATTTTATTGATCTATATAAAAGTTTACAATCCACAAATGAGACAAAACTTGTGATTTTTGTCTTTCTAAAACTGACATAATTCACATAACACAATTATCCTCAGTTGTATACATTTACATTTAAACAATATAATTCCATTATTTTATAGATGAAATATTCCAGTTTGTATCTACCACATCTTCTCTACCCATTCCACTATCAATGGACACAGTACATTTAACTTTGAGAGTAGAATAGATGAGGTTGGAGAAGATAAATTAACAGCAGAAGAAGAATATTTTGAAGAACAAACAAAAATAACAAGGAAAGGCAAAATTTTCTAAATAATATTGTTTCATTTGCTTGCTTATTAAATGTAAATAAACAAAAGGATAGTTGGCATGACTCTAGAACTCCTTTATTCCCACCTGATCTGCTTAATGATCTAGTTTAGTTTCTGATCCCACATGTCACAAAGCCTATCACAGTGCAGTGTGTCTAAATCAGCATCTCCTTCCATGGATGTAGCTCAACCAGTTGCTGTCCACAAAGTTCTTTTCGTCAACCAGAGTAGGACTTTGGGTTTTATAATTAGTTTTTGTTTAGTAAAATATTATGTCCTGATGTGATATCTGACATAAGACATTTACAATCTTTCTAAGAATGATGCTCCTGTTTGGGTACAATCACTCAATAATTCTTGAAACCACACTTTGGAATCATAGGGTTCCCTCTCAAAGTCACAGTGTAAGCCCTCTGGACAGATCATCTCTGAGGGTCCTACTCACTCTCAAATCCTGTGACTCTGCATCTCAGCGAAGTGTGAGCACTGAACCCCAGAGTCCCATGATCTGACAGTTTATGCTGTCTGCAGCATATGCAGAAGCATCCTGGTGCCCCCTGAGAGGCACTGCAACATCTGGCAGCCGTCATAATTCCTTCCATCCTATTTTCTTCCAGCAAGCAAAATTGTTGCCTCCTGTGGCTCAGTCACTGCTCAGTAGTAAGAAGAATTCTCTCTGAGGTGGGAAACAGACATTGCTATCACTGAGAGACTAGCCTTTTCACCCTTTAAACGTAATCTGTCATTCTGTCCAGTGTGTTCAGTAGCCACACAGGGCAACACCAGGTAGAATCTGAGCTGGTGCTTGAAACTGAACCATGGAGAAGGAGATTATTGCTCCAGATCTTTCATGATGAGTTTATGTCCTCTGCTTTGTTTTATGAAGTACAATGAGGTGTGATGCATGCTCTAAAGAAGAAAGGAAAGGAGATGAAGACTGGCATCCTAAGCCTGGCACACAGGAAAGCAAAATAAAAGAAAGAGATCATCTTTGCCTTACTTTGAACATGACTGAGAACTCACGCTTAAAACCCTAGTTTGAATTGAGCGTACTTTATAGTCTCAGGTACTGAAAATCAACCAGTGATATTCAACTCTCTTTTTGATGCTCCTTCTTAATTTCATCTCTCAGTTCAAATAACTTTTCCTGGTCTTCTAAAATCCTAAGAAGGCATTCAAGTCACAAGTATTGAAAAATTAGTATTTTAATAAAGCAAAAAGCTCCAACAGAAGTGAATTAACCATTAAATTTCTGCCCGCCTGTTAGCCAACCACAAAATAGTCAGACCTATATTGTTTGATGCAAATATCTTAATAAATATCATGCAAATTGAAAATAGTTTATATAGGGGAAGAGCCACCTCTTTAAATTATATCAGTGGTTAACTTTAATTTTGTCAACTGAAAGTTTTAGTAACACAAGTAATCATTTCTTTTCCTTTTCATGGAATATTTTTAAAAAGCAGAGATGTGTTAGGTAAGTCCAATTGTATTACAAAATACTGTTTGTTCTGACCAAAACACAAGTTGATATCTCATAGTATGTGTGAGTCAGTTTCCTTGTGTTTACATCACTGAAAAAAATTAATTAAATCAGCTAAGAGGTATGCATATATTGTCCAATTGCCACTGTTTTCCTTTACTAGGACATCTCTTCCATCAGTACATTGACCTTGTACACACCATAGCCAATACTAATTTGTCAAAGGTGTGACTTGGGCTCAGCTACAAAGGTGTGCAAAGTCAAGCAAATCTTTAGTATAAACCCAAGAGTTTGCTCAAATTTGTACATGACTGATTCATAGCTGTGCTGAAAGTGTGTGAGCAAGACTAGAGACCTGTAAATTCTGCTCCCATATCATCCTGTGGTCACCTGGTAAGTGTTTAGCAGCTGTACCAAATGTTGCTTTGTAATTAAATTGGGCCCAGGGAATTAACATTGATTAGTTGTGCAGACTCTACCCTCAGGCTGGAGCTGCAGCTATAGATTTTGTTTTATAATTAAGTTAAAATTCGGCTAGGGACATGAAGAATTAGAGACAATGAATCTGGAAAATATTAAAAAGAATTTTCTGGTCCCACATTCCTCACAAATTTCACAACTTTAGTAACTACACAAAAACCTCTGAAGTCTCTATTTACTTTGTTCTGAAATGTTCTTGTGTAGGCTTCCAGAGACCATTAGGGCTTCTGCTGTTGTTCATTTCTCCCATTGTCTTGTGTGGAACATGGTTGGTAAAGGTGGTGAGAAGGGCCAAGAGAGTTTTTTGCAGATTCTCTTGCAAATGAGGGCATGTAACAGAATTGCTCAGGGAAGAGAGTACAAGACAATCTGAGAAGAGATAAACATCTACTGTGTAGTCAAAACTGAAGATCCTGAATAAAGACAATGCCAGATCTCTAGCACAATTAGGTCCTACTTCTGGGGTAGGAAAGGCACAATCCTATGGGGTGTTACACCTTTGAGAATATCCAGTTTCCTCCTTAGTTTCCTTGGTATGTTTATATTTTCCTTAAAGGTATAAACTTTGTGAGCTAAGAGTGTTTTGTTTCCAAATTGGTTGGTTAGAGGCAGAACAAAGACCACAAAACTGCGTAGGGGTGTGGTGGTCTGTTTATATCTGTGCTGCAGTTCTTGGGAGGCTGAGAGGATGACCATAAAGAGGTCAAGCAGGCTTGAACTATTTAGCAAGTCCCAAACTAGCCTGAGATATGAGAACTGTCTCAAAATAACAAATAAAATAATCAGGAGTTTGGGGAAGCTGAAATATTATAGACTGAACCTATAAACAAAATATTCTTTCTTTATATTCCTCATGAAAAATGAAATAAATTATGGCATCAATGTTCTCATGCAAGGCTCTGTTTCAGAACGTTGACATTATTCTATATGAATGCCCTACACTCAGTGTCCTTGCTTAATCTTTTATAAACAGTTAAAACTCAGCAGGAGTTTCAAATGTTGATAGCTTTGTTCTGTCTTTCTTACTTTACTCTTGTTTGTAAATGGTATTTGATTAATGATACTAACATGTACAATTCACTCTCATAGCTGATTCATAATTTTATGAAGATAAAAAGTATATTTGTGAGTCTGGGCAGGGGCTCTGTTGCTGAGGCACATCTCAGCCCTCTAAAAAATATTGTAATTTAGTCAGTATGATTCCTCATTCCACAGTCATTACAGGTGTAGTTGTGGGCACAAGGAGGAATCACTTGCTAGGACTTGTTAATGTTTGCTTTATCATTCTTGAATGGAATAGCTATTCCACCCAAAGACTCGGTGCCATAGTACTTTGGCTTAATTTTCAAAATGCAGAAGAAAGCCTACTTCATGGTTTGGATATGAAATATCACCCAGAGGTTCATGGGCTTGAGCACTTCATCTGCAGCTGATGGACCTGTTTGGGGAGATTGTGAGCTGTGTAGGAGCAAAGCTGGAGGAAGAGGATCACTGGGGACCAGCCTTGAGGTTTCTTGTCAGGCCCTACCTCCTATCCTGTCTCAACTTCCTCTCCTTCAAAGATGTAAGGAGATGAGGAGTCTCATCTGCATTCTCCTACCACTATACCTTCCCTTCCTCACCATGAGATAATCAACACCCTCAAACTGTGAACCAAAATAAATTCTCCCCCTTAAATTACTTATCAGGTGTCTAGCAACAGGATGGAAAAAAGAAGGAAAATATGTACACAATTTATGAATGAAGGTAATTAAGAATGAAAATGGTGACTAATCTGGCTTAGAGTAACATTATGTTGGGATTAGAATGAGGCAAATTGCAAAATCAACCAAGGAAAATAATTCAAGAGAAGTATTCATTTTGGTTCACCATTTCAGATGTGTCAGGTTTTCATGGTAGAGAGGACATAGTAGAGAAGAGCATCTCACATCATGGTGGCCAGGAAATGGAAAAAGAACACTTTACTAATTTACTTTTTATGTTTCCCTTTTCAATCCATCTAGACCTCAGCCTATAAGATGGTATTCTCCAAATCCATGGTGATTCTTCTCTACTAGTTCCTCTCTGAAAATCCACTCTCACACATATAAATGTTCTATTTACCTCCTTAAGGCAACTCATTCCTTTTAAGTTAAAAATGATTAACTATCACCAAACAGTATAGGTTTAGGATTCTCCAACCCATTTCCAGGTTCAGTGAGTCAACAAGAATCCCAAGACCTAGCATACAATTGTTCCCACAATTTTGCACAATTACCATGATCAACAGCAAAGTGCACATGACTCAAAGTCCAGAGGAATCCATGTGTACACTTCCAGGAATCCTCTCCAAGTAGAATCACA